CGATGGCCCGCGGACATGCATGCATGGCCATCGGCACAATGGCAGCAATAATCTCACGTTGGTAAAGCGAGGATGGACAATCTTATACCGGTGCTTTGGGTCAGAATGCACGGAAAAACCTCTTGTGGAGCTTGGCAACATTGGACTTACGATGTCCTTGCTAGACGCAAACCCTATCAGATTGCACCCCACCCATGACAGAAGTACTTTTCCCAACAATATTAGGACACTGTCGGACTCCGAAAAACAAGCATATCTCAATCTCATCAAGCGCAACGTGACGCAGCGGTACCGGGGAATGGCTGCAATCTTTTCAAGCATATATCTCGTTGACGGGCGCATCATCGCTGAGGGAAAATCGTTTCAGTATTGGTCAGGACGCCGGTGGATTGTCGACAACGCATACCACGTGCAAAACGTTTTCAGCTTCCACATGTCCCGTATCATGACCTGGTACTCAAATAAAAGATTATCCGCCTTCAAGCGGGAAATTCACGCATATATGAGGGGCTCTAAGGCATGGCAAAACGTGCCATTGACACCAGAGTCAGTGCTTCCGGATTGGGCATTGCATCCGACTACCGAGGAAGAGAAAAAAACATGTAGTGTTGCGTGGAAGGTAGTCAACAAATCATATCCGTTTCCGGCAAAAAGCGATCTAGTTGATCTGACGCGAGGCTCTGAGGTTCGTGTCTGCCTCGAGTTCGTCATAAACGCGCTGCAAGCTCCCGAGGAGCTAGGTGGATTGATGGATATTGCCAATCCGTATTTATTTGCATGCGCAAACGGCGTTATCGACACCAAGACAGGGCAGCTGCTCCCCTTCCATCCAGCGCATCTATGCTCGCGCTCTTCAAAGGCGGCTTTCCGTGGTATGCCAAAAGCTGGAAGCCGATTCGAAAAGTTTTTGCTTGACTGCTTCAATGACGACAGAGAAGTGCTTGAGTGGTATCAACTCTTTTCCGGTTATTGTATGACTGCGGATACGAGTGAGCATATCTTTCTAATCAAGCAAGGGGAGGGCTCAAATGGCAAATCTTTAACCAAACTGGCAACTCAGGAGGTTTTGGGCAGTTACGCTGTCGTTATGTCAGAAGATTGCATCATTGAGGCAGGAAAGCGGTCGACTGGGTCGGCGTCGAGCCATATTATGGCGCTCCGGGGTGGGCGCGTCGGAGAGACCGACGAATCCGGAGAGAAAGCGGTCTTGAATGAGGGCGCAGTAAAAGCGCTCTCGGGGTCAGGGACGACTACAGGGCGCGAGCTGCACACCAGACAAGAAACTTTCCAAATCAGCGTCAAGTCTGTATTGAACACCAATTATCGGCCTGTTCTTGAAAATGTATCCTACTGCGTTACTCGACGTGTGGCTCTTCTTCCGATGCTAGTCACCTTCAAACCCGCTGAGACACTCAATCCCAGCAAGCCTCGTGAAAAGCCAATGGACACCACGCTAGAGGCGTATCTAAAGAGTGACCGGGGTCGAGAGGACGGGCTGTCGTGGTACGCACAAGGGGCCAAACGGTACTTTGAGCTCAAGCGTGCCAACCCGAATAGCCTCCCGCTAAAGCGCCGTCCACGTGTTATTGAAGACGCTGGCAAAGCCTACATTCAGGATTCGGACATCGCTAGGCGATGGATCGAGGACTGCCTCGAATTCGAAGATATCTTGCCCGGAGCACGGCCGACTTGGCACTTAGCGGTTGGCGAACGGCTGGGGAACGCATTCCGAGCTTGGCTCAAGGAAGAGGATCTGACCAGCTCGTTGTCGGCAACAAAGCTCAAAAAACGCATCGTGGAGTTTGCCGAAGGAGCTAATTGGTTGGTTACGGATGGTCGTTTTACGAATAGCCAAGTACAAAATCGAGGACAGTGTAAAGGCCTTTCAGGGGTTCGCTTGAAGCCCGGGTGCGAGTATGGGGAGGCTTTTGACTAGATGGGATCCGTCCGGAAGAATCTTAACAACGGACAGGGAGACTTTGCAAGATCAATGTCACAAAGATGTCCTATGCGTGGCATTAGATGCCGCCGGTGACATTGCGATGTGAAATACTCTATCAATCGTTTGTTCCTATCAGTAATTGCTGGTATGTGATCACGTATCTTGCAGTCCAAAAGTCCAAAAGACCATGTTTTTAACTTTATTTGATTTCAAATTTTTAAGATATAGCTCATTCCCATATACGGGCTTCAATCCTATAATTAAAAAGATATGTATATCCAGTCTTTTGGCCTTTTGGTCTGCGGCCCAAGTGCATCCACGGCCACGACTCCTATCAACACGACGGTGGACCCTTTGCAAGATTCATTTCATAGAAGACGAGCCATGCCCCGTCGGATTGCTGGTATGTGATCACGTATCTTGCAGTCCAAAAGTCCAAAAGACCATGTTTTTAACTTTATTTGATTTCAAATTTTTAAGATATAGCTCATTCCAATATACGGGATTCAATCCTATAATAAGAAAGATATGGATTTCCGTGCTTTTGGCCTTTTGGTCTGCGGCCTGAGTGAGAGAAATTGCCCGTTTTGACTGGCCCGCCTTCAACCGCAAGCGCAATACGTAAAAGAGTCGTAGATCACGTGAGAAGTAGATGGTCCAGTGATTAGCTAGATTGAACAGATTGGTCCGACCAAGATGTGCCAGTCTGCCGGCACTGGCAAGACACATGGAACCATTACAAGAACGTCACTGGGCACACTGACTTTATGAATGCTCTGGCCAGGTCCTTCTAGATCCCGGGGCATGGCTAGACCTGCTATGATTAACACCACAGATCGGACCGATTTGTCCAAATTGTCCAAGTGTCCAAGCTTTTGCGCAACCTTTTTGGCGGTGAAGCTCCGATGACATCAGCAATAGGTGATAGGGATCGACAAGGCCTGTGCATGTTGTAGTGAACGGCACGGGTTCATGTGTCCGAGGTGTCCAAGATTCTGCGCAATTTTTTTCGTGGCCGCCGATTGCTGACGTCATCCTAATGGAAGTTGCAGATATCAAGTGCCGTTGAGCTTAGACACTACATACATGCAAATCATTAATCATTTCTGACGAATGCAGACCATAGTTTCTAACGATAACGCTCTAAATCCAGGATGATCAATTTTCGAAAACATGAACACTCACTTCGTCATTGAAACAGTATGTACACGAATACACTTCAATTTTACATACACAATAAAAAGTACAGCGCGGCGAGCGCCCCGCTTGCATCGACGATCGCCTTGTCACTACCGTGTGTGAGCCTCAAACCCTATCAAATAGTGTACGAGCACTTGATCCCCGGATAGAAGAACTGCCGTGGCGACTCGTTGTTTTTAAGCCTCCTGAATCCCTTCTTATCCATCCTCCTCGCCAATTCCTCATTGGACAATCTCTCCGAAGCGAACTCGCGATAAAGGGTGGCAAATTCGATCTGCAAAGTCGAAAGCCCTTCTCCGCGCTCGCAATGCTGGTCGAGAAATAACTGCAGCTTGTCCGCCTCTCTCACGTACTCGTCCGTCGCATCCCGCACCGCCTTTGGGAGCAGAACCAAGACCGTCTGCGCTAGTGTACCACTCCATCGAACCGCGAGCTATCCAAGAAAGGACTTGCCGACGCGACTCCTCCTCCTTCATGCGATCCTTCATGCCGTCGTCTCTGAGGCGGTGGGTTGCATTAGTGGGGTCAAATGTGTCTCTGCCTACGTAGCTATTGGGGAACGAAATCACCCGCAGCCGGCGCAAAACGTTGTCCTTGATCTCGGTCGCAAGCATAACAGGAGGGTAGTTCGTCTGAACGAAGGGAGTGTGGGTGATGACGAACTCGACATTGTTCATACGCATACCCCGCGCTTTTGTGCTGCCACCCCCTGTCATCGCTAGGACAAGCCCCAGATCCACCCGCTCCTCCTTGGCCGTCTCATCGGTGACGGCGAGCCGCACGCCCATCAGCTCGAAGATGTAGTTTGTAGGCGCGTTCTTGGAGGGGGCATGCTGACCGGGAGCCTTGACGATCGCATCCTTGGACATCGTGCCATAGTAATCACCGGTCGCGGCCTGCGGCGTCTCCTTCAGGACACCCTTCCCGTTTCCTGCATCAATAAACGAGTTCAACTCGAGACAACAAAGATGAATAAGCCCACCCGGACCGGGCGAGCATTAGCGCTTTTGGGCACGCTAACGAAAGCGGGTCCACCAAATCGCAAATCATGGAAAAAGCCGCATTTTGTGTAAGGAACGAGATGCACGTGCAGGACTCATGGCCAGACTTGCTATAAGATTATTTCAACAGCATAGACGGAGTTGTCCAAAGTGTCCAAGCTTTCACGCAACCTTTTTGGTGGTCGAGCTCCGATGACGTCAGCAATAGGTGATAAGAATAAGCGAACCCTGTGCATGCTGTAGGGAACGGCACGGGCTCATGTGTCCGAGGTGTCCAAGCTTTTGCGCAACCTTTTTGGTGGCCGCCGATTGCTGACGTCATCAGACAAGTCCCGGCAACCTTCGTTAGAGCTTGGACACACGGACAGCCTGGGAGATGGCCTCAGCGTGTGTCCAAGTGTCCAAGCTTTATTACCAACTTTTCCGTGGCCGCCGATTGCTGACGTCATCCTAATGGAAGTTGCGGATATCAAGTGCCGATGAGCTTCGACACTACATACGCTGCAAGCATTTAAACAACTCTAACATGTAGAGCTCTTTGGCAAACGATGTGGCCATGTGTCGATCAGAAGGCTGACACGCGAAATCGTTGAGTGACCAGGTCCATTCCGCTGCCAGATCTGGTGCCTCTTGACATCCAGAAAGCACAAATTTCGATGTCGAGAAGGGAAGCGAAATTGGAGCGCCAGATCTTAGCGGCACAGTCCTTCCGAGTCTTCAGTCCATAGGCTCGACAACTCAGTGCCCTTACCTCCCGGTCCGAGCAAGAGCACAAAGATCTCCTCCCG